AACCATTTCCTTTTGGTACAGTGACTCTGTGTATTCCTTCCATCTTCTTTTGATGCTTTCTGCATCATTCAGTAAATAGCATCATGATAAATGGAGAAATGATTGAAGGTGTCGAAGACTTCATTTTGCTTGGATCCACTATCAACACTCATGGAAGCAGTTAAGAAATCCAATGATATATTCAAATCTGCTCTGAAAGACCATGTGAAAGTGTTCAAGAGCAAAGATATCAGTTTGAAGACTAAGGTGTGCCTGACCTAAGCCACGGTATTTTCAATTGCCTCATATGCACGTGAAGGTTGAACAATGAATAAGGAAATCACTGAAGCAATTTGAATTATTGTGACTGAGAAGAATATTGAAAGTACAATAGATTGCAAGAGCAAAAAAATCTATTTTGGAAGAAGTACATTCAGAATGCTTCTTAAAAGTGAGGATGACCAGACTTTGTCTCTTATACATTGGAAATGCTGTCAGGAGAGACCAGTCGTTGGAGAAGGATATCATCCTTGGAAAAGTGGAGGGTCTGTGAAAAAGAGGAAGAACCCCTTCAAGATGGACTGATACAGTGCTGACAACAATGGACTCAAACATAACAATTTTGAAGCTAGCACAGGACCAGATAGTATTTTGCTCTGTTATGCACAGGGTTACTATGAAATATGAATTGACTAGACAGTATGTAAGAACAAGTGTTCCTTGAAGCGAAATTTGGAAACCATCAATTTAATCCAAATCATCTATCACACATTATACTAATGGAGAAACTGAGACACATACTAGGGGGACTATATTGGCTCAGTGGTCCTATAACAAGTTACCAGCAGAGCTAAGATTAGAGCTCATATGTTCTGATTTCCAAGTCTATTGTCTTTCTACCACACTTTATTATAAAACTTCCCATAGTATGGATCCTGAAAGTAACATTGAAGATAGAATGACAGTGAGGCTCAAGACTATTTTTGAAGTGAGAATATGTACGTACATGTAGAAAAATATCCTGAGACTTTTATGAGACTTATGTGATTTGTGATTATGGAAAAATATTATTGACCTTGTGTGTGGTTTAAACCTGGACCTACGATGGCTGTGTGTGCATGGAAGGTAGATAGGATACCTTATAATCTTGATCTTCCTCTTTCTTTTTGAGTCTCAGTTCCCTTATATGCATTATGGGTATGATGTCAGGGTTATAGTAATGTGGGTATGATTAGAGTTATAGTGAGGATTACACAAGTTATCCTTGTAGAAAAACACTGGGCTTGGTACTTGGCCTATAGCAACATTCCTTCAATATGGCTTCCCTTATACACTGTACCCACTTTCCCCTTCCTTACCAGGCAAGGCCTTGGCCCACTTGACCACATGTACAAGTTGTCTCTCGCCCAATTCATTGAGGCTAGAAAGCAAGACTGCAAAGGAGTCAGGCTGGTTGTTGTCATGTCCAGCGCACACCACTCCTGGCTCAATGGCTTCCAGGACATTCAGAAAGATGGGTTGACACTCATAGCCTTCGATGTGTGACACTGTCAGCTTCTGAGTTGGTTCCTCAGTGGGGCTGGTGGAACTTGAAGCCTCCCCTTCTTCCTGTAGTTTCAGGTTGCCAAGTTTCTTCAGCTTCCGGGCTATTGGGAAGAAAGAGAAACTTGGATTTATTATCAGAAACTAAAAACACGTAGCATACCTATCCTGTTATAAAACCTGCCTGGACTAAGAAAATAAGAGGATGTTCATTTTCTTTTTTCTACACATAGACTAATTTCCTTAAAGACAAATGGTCAGTTTAAACACTAATTGAATGAATCTTTTCAAATACCTGATAAATCCATATCTTGCCTTTTCTTCTAATCCTTGTGCCAGACCAGCTTAGTACACCTTTGGATTTGGCTCTGTCTGACCTCAGCCTTCAGAATTTATACCTGGAAGTTTCAAATTGATTTATTCACTAATGCATTCACGATTCATTAATTCAGCAGAAATACAAATTGAGGGCTTTGCTTCTGGGTGAAAGAAAGGGCCCAGACCCTGCTCTAGTCTGATAAAGAAGAAATCAATGGCCACAAAAAAAAATTCTCTAATATGTCAAGACCATGCAACAATGGCGGCATAAGTGGGGTCAGAAAATGTTCTACACAGAAAGTGGCATTTGGCTTAGACCTTGAAGAACGATGAGGATATAAAAGAGTAAAATGGTATAAAAAAATACAAAGGGTACAAACAAAGGCACTGAGCAGAGTTTTGGGGCAAACACTATGGCTGGTGTTTATGCTGCATGAGGAGGCTTCAAAAAGTCCTTGGAAAGGTTGAAAAGACAATGGAATTTTTCCACTAACTTTTGAAGTTCCCTAGCATGTGTCAGTTTGTCATACTGTGGTGGCTTGTGAGTTGTTATGATGCTGGAAGATATGCCACCAGTATTTTAAATACCAGCAGTGTCACCCATGGTGAGCAGGTTTCATCAGAGCTTCCAGACTAAGACAAGGAAGGAGAGGCAGGGTACTTACGAATGGTTAGTCACTGTAAACCTTATGAATAGCAGCAAAACATTGTCATATATATACTAGAACATGAGCCCATCAAATTGGAAGATACTCAAAATATAACTAGGCAAGTGCTGCCTCCTCAAAATAGAGATGATCTTAATGACCTGGATGGAGTTAAGATTTCTGGACTTTCATTTGCTGATGTGGCAAAACTCAATATGAGACAAAACAGTTGGAAACGCCCATTAATAATCAGAATTTGGAATGTCCTAAGTATGAATCTAGGAAAATTGGAAGTTGGCAAAAATGAAATGGAATAAAGATCAATATCTTAGAAGGATAAGCATCGGACCACAAGGCTGATTTGAACCATAGGATGGCACTTCAAACTCACCAGTTTTTCCTCAGAAACCCTATGTAGGGTCGCTATGAGTCGGAAACAACTCAGAGGCACTTAACAATAAAAGTAACAAGCTGACATGGTCATTTCAAACCTGATAATCATGTGTTTTACTATGCATGGTATGACTAAAGAGGAATAGTGTCACATTCATAGTCATAAAAGATATTTGAGGATCTATCTTGAAGTACAATGCTATCTTTGATAAGATAATACTCATTAATATCACTCATATTCAAATTTACTCACCAACCACTAAAGTTGTAAAGAATTTTACAACTTCTTCAGTCTGAAATTGATCAAACATGCAATTGAAATGCATTGATAACTATTGGTGTTCAGAATTTGAAAGTTGGAAACAAAGATGGAGTATCAGTAGTGGGAAAATACGGCCTTGTGGATAGAAATGATGCTGGAGAGTGAATGATAAAATTTCGTAAGACCAATGACTTCTTCGTTGCAAATACCTTTCTCAACAATATAAAATGTGTCTATATATGTGGACTTCATCAGATAGAATAAACAGAATTTAAATGGACTACAGATGTGGGAGGAGATGATGAACAAGCTCAATACCAAAACCAAAGCAGGGGCAGACTGTGGAACAGAACATCAATTGCTCACATGCAAGCTCAGGCTGAATCTGAAGAACACTCAGACAAATTCATAAGAGCCAAACTAGGACCTTGAGTATATTCCATCTGAATTTAAAGACCATCTCAAGAACAGATTAGATGTATTAGACACTAATGACCAAAGACCAGAAGAGCTGTAGGATGACATCAAGAACATCATACATAAAGAAAGCAAAAAGTCATTAAAAAGGCAGTAGAAAAACAAAAGATGAAAGTGGACAGCAGAAGAGACTCTGTACGTTACTCTTGAGCATATTGTTATTGTAGTTAAGTGATGTTGAGTCTGTTCTAATCCATAGCGTCCTTGTGTAAGGTTTCCAAGGAGCAGCTGCTGGGTTTGAACCACCAACCCTGTGGTTAACAGTCCAGTGGATATCAGAAAAGAGCCTGAAACTTGTTCTTCAACGTAGAGAAGAAAAAACAACTAGAAGAAATAATGAAGCAAAAGCATAGCTCGAGATGACAATGTTAAATATTATAGTGAAATGTGCAAAGACCTGGAGTTAGAAAACCAAAAGGCAAGAAGACGCTCAGCATTTCTCAAAATGAAAGAAAGGGGATAAAAGTTCAAGCCTCAGATTGTAACACTGAAGAATTCCATGGGGAAAATATTCAATTACACTGAAAGCATTAAAAGAAGATGGAAGGAATATACAGAGTTACTGTACCAAAAAAAAAAAAAAAAAAGTCAAAGTTCAATCAGAACATTGTTTAAACAGAACAAGGAGACACTGAGACACTGACTGATTTAAAATGAGGAAAGCTGTGTGCCAAGATTATATACTTTCAACATACTTATTCGATACATATGCTGAGCATGTAATTTGAGAAGATGGATTATATGAAAAAGAATATAGCATCAGGATTGGAAGAAGACTCACTGACAACTTGTGATATGCAGATGACACAACCTTGCTTGCTGGAAGCAAAGAGGGCTTGAACCAGTTAATGATGAAGTATGGATTGTACCTCAATGTAAAGAAAACAAAAATCCTCATATTTGGGCCAGTAAAGAACTTCATGATAAATGGAGAAAAGATTGAAGTTGTTAAAGACTTAAATTTTCTTGGATCTTCAATCATTACTCATGGAAACAGTAGCCAAGAAATCAATAGACCTATTGCATTAGGCAAATGTGCTTCAAAATACCTTTTTAAAGTGTTCAAGAGCAAAGACATCATTTTGAGGACTAAGGTGTGCCTGGCCCAAGCCACAGTATTTTCAATAGCCTCATATGCATGCGAAAGTTGGACATTGACTAAGGGAGACTTTAGAAGTACTGATGCATTTGAATTATGGTGCTGAAAAAGAATACCGAAAATACCATGTACTGCCACAGTAATAAATAAATCTGTCTTGGAAGAAATACAACCAGAATGCTCTTTAGAAGAGAGGATGATGAGACTTCATCTGTTGTATCTTCTACATATTTTCAGGGGGACCAATCCTTGGAGAAGAACCTTATGGTTGGAAAAGTGGATGGTCAATGAAAAAGAGGAAGATTCCCAACAAGATGGGTTGACACAGTGGCAGCAATAATGGATTCAAAAGTAAGAATAACTGTGTAGATGCCACAGGACTGGGCAGTGGTTTATTCTGTTGTGGATAGGATCCTTATGAGTCAGAAGTGATTTGACAGCACCTAACAAAGCATGTGGAGTCCTGGTGTGGCACTGTGGGTTAATGTGCCAGACTTCAAAGCCGTTTGAACTGCAAGGTCAGCAGTTCAAGCTCACCAGCTGCTCCTCGGAAATCGTATACAGGGTCGCTATAGGTCAGAATCTACTCGATAGCACTTAACAACAGTAATAACAAAGCATGTGTCAGTGGAATGACTACCTATGAGTATATCACATAACTACTTATGAATTGCCTCATTGTAAATGGATGTGTATACAATAATAAGTTTGGGCTTTCTCTTATAGGCCATAGGCAAATGTTGTTGTTAAGTGCCATTGAGTCGGTTCCAACTCATAGTGACCCTGTATAAGGTTTCCAAGGAGCAGGTGGGTTTGAACTGCCAACCTTGTGGTTTGCAGTCCAGTGCTGATTCTACAGTGCCACACCTAGGATGCTGCAAATCAAGGGAATGGTATGTATGTATGTGTAGCAAATTGCTAGAGAAAAATACTGGAAAGGCATAAATATTGAAGAACTAGACTTCCTAGAGGTAACAGATGGTACAGTAACTTGAATTTTGGCTCTCTCTCTCTTTAGCTATCAATAAGGACGGATGTAGCTGTAGACACATACACACACAAACATATTTTGTTAAAATTTTCTGAAAAATAGAAAAAGTGCCAGGCAGCCAGATGACCAAGTAGAGAATAGGTGCACAATGATTAGGAATTGATGCAGCAGATGGGAATGAGGCAAAACAAAATCGTTTTGCAACCTCAGGTTATCAAATTCTATCATCCCAATACGGATTCAATGAAAAAGGATTTTTCTGGTGTAGAATTTCCCACTGAGCACTATAAATAGCCTCAAATATTGTCAGACATTACACTCAGATTAACATGCACTGTTACACAGAATGACTTTGTTTTAGCAAAGGAGAGAAGGGAATGTGAAGGGGCAAGAATCCCCAATAATATCAAAGATATGACAGAATACTTCTGCTTCTGCAATCTGTCTGTAAAATGGGAACCATGCTTGGAACCAGCTATTAGAAAGGATGATTGAAATAACACTATTTAAAACAACAACAATAATACAAAACTCAACCTTTAAAATGCTCCCCCTTCCAATACTTTCTCCTTTCACATGCACACAAAGTTTAGAGGTCGTTGGTCATCCTATGCTTGTTGTTGTTGTTGTTGTTGTTGTTGTTGTTGTTGTTAAGCACTGTGGAGTACAGGGTTTCCGAGGCTGCAAATCTTTATGGGAGCAGAAAGCCTCATCTTTCTTCCATGGAATAGCTGGTAGTTTTGAACTGCCGACCTTGAGATTAGCAGCCTGATTCATAACCACTACGCTACCAGAGCACCTTAGCCTATGCTTACTTTGTGCTATTTTATCTTAGCATTGTTGACAGAAATATGAATAATTGAGATCATAACTCTGAGGCATCATAACACAGGCATTTGCACTGGTCCTGATCATAA